TACGATATCCATTTAACCTGTCAGGCGCAGCCGAGAGCTCTTCCTTTATGATATCTCTAGCTCTGCCTTCAACATTTTCGTCAACAAGTTCGCAATGATTTAAACCAAAATCTCAGTTTTAAAGTTCTCTCTGACAGTCGTATGCCATGTTACCTTTGTAAAAAAGCACAATATTCTTGTATTTGAACCCTTTATGAAAATAGTGTTCAATAATCTCTCTTTCTGATACAGAATTAGGTAAACCTTCCCTATCAAAGTTGTTCAAACGGTTCAAATCTTCCTCGTCTTCCACCATTTTGTTTTGAAAGATTCGCCCCAGTCTCCTCGTGTTAACCTGCGGTGTTTTAAGAGGTTTCGTAACGACATGCTACACATTTTTAGTGAGAAAGTGTGTGTTCATTTTTAATAAAATGTAATATTTTTTTATTGAAGTAATGGTCTGCACAAAATTCGAGTGAAAGTGGTAGTAGAAAATAATATTAGTACCATTTATCTTTGTTAAAGTAATGTCCCTTCTGGGCCACCGCAACAAAAACACTATGTGATTTTGATTATTATGAAATTGTTCATTTATTTACCAGACTACCAGTACCATTTGTAATAAGCTTCTATCTGGTAGGCAAGATATCCACAATTGATATCTCGTTTTGCAGCAGGCAACTGTGTTTCCTGGCCCCTCGTTGAAACTATTCCATAAAGCATTTTCCATAAGCTTCTGTGTATAGCAATAATCGGGTGCAACCCACATGGAACAAGGCAACTTTCACTAAATGCAGAAAATATTGGCATTCCCTAAAGAAAAAATTTGAAAATTTCCAAAATTCGACAAATGTAATAAATGATGTAGGATAAAGCTACCATACTTGGAGTAGAACTTGACGATAAACTACATTGGAATAAACACATTGATAAAGTCACTAAAAAGTTACCTCAGGAATAGGAGCCATTAGGAAAATTTCGTGATTTTGTTAGAGACACTTTGATTTCTATTTACAATGCCTTAATTAATCTTTATTTTGACTATTGCAGTGAGGTATGGGATACCATGGGTGTTGGACTTTCAAACAGGCTGCAAATTTCAAAATAGAGCTGCAAGGGTAATAATGAACTTTAGTAATAATATTTCTGGAACAGAAGCAATAAAAGCGGTAGGATGGGAAACTCTGGAGACTTGATGAGCCAAGTTTAAAGCGAAAACAATGTACAAGGTTTTAAACAACTTGGCCCCAAGTTTGCTTGCTGAACTGTTTGAACACAAGAGAAATATTACTAAACACTACCTCAGGGGTTCTTCTACCTTGCTGCAATTGCCCCAATCAAAAACTGAAAAACTAAAGAAAAGTGTTTTTTTACGACAGAGCTAAACTTTGGAATTCTCTACCTGCAGATGTGCGTAATTCAGATACTACTGACGATATTCAAAGAAAGAATTTGTGCTCATACTGCCTAAATTCTTTCAGGCATGAAATTTTGAGTAGCACTTTTAACTTTTCTATTTAAAAAAACTTTTGCATGCTTTTATTGACACATATACTTGTTTGCATAGTGTAGCATGGTGTATCGTATATGTGGTAAATTGTCCTATATATATATGTATGTATTTAATTGTGCATGTTTTTAATAGACGGTTTTAGATAATAAGACGCCCGTGTTCACTTCCGGTTTTAATCTGGGACAGCTTGTTTGTCTTTTTCGAAGCAAATTTTTGTTTTCTTGTTACCTGTTCATTCCTGTATTGTTTTCAATCAGTTGTCAAGATATGTGCAAGAAAAGGCTATCTAATACTGGCTAAGTTTTTTTTGGAAACAAACGTATATTTTGGTATTTTGAAAAGTGAACTTTGTTGCATCATTTGGAATAAATACAATAGCTGCAGGTATTGTTTATGAGCTAAATGCTTTATTGTAGCCTATTCAATCAAGTTTGTCAACTGTTCAGTATAAATATAGCATCTGTGTTTATATTGGTAAAATTTAATACTGTTTACGATAGTTTTTCATGCTGGAAAGCGTTGTCCTACTTTTTGCACTGTCTGCCAGTGACAGAGCAACTAAAATTGAGTTTTTACTGCTTTTAATTGCTTTTATTTTTCTATTTCCCACGTTTTCCTTATTCTAAACATTTGTTAATATAACTTCAGTTTAGTTTGTTCTAAAATATTTGTTTTAGTGAAGATTATAACTAGCAGTATTGAAGTGGTTATTAACAATGCTTGCAGTTTTGTTGATTTGTTTATGGCGACCGAAAGTATTTGTCGAAAAATTTAGCGAAATACAAGAAAAACAACCTTGTCAATGGAAAAACTTTAGCTAGTATCATTAAACAATACATGGGGAACAAAATCGGATGATTTTTGTTATGCATAGTCTCATATTTTTTTTCAAAAGAAGCAAAAATCTGTGACGTTCTAGAGAGGACGTGACGTGAAAATTGTATTTTCGCATCGTGAAATCATCCAAAACGACGTCGCAAACCAGAAGCTGATGATAGTTGGCTCCAAATGACAACATACACATCCTCTTGACGGCCGCGTCTTGTTATCTAAAACCGTCTATTATTATGCAATTCACACAATTTTGTATAGGCTGTAGAACCTTTAAGGGGGTTGTCTCCAGGATCTTTCCCAGCTTGTTCAACCCACTTTTCCCTATCTGCAATGGTTTGGCATGGTGAAGATGATGGTTGACTGTTATCCCAGGTAGACAATTTCTTTTTAACCAGTAGCAACCATACATTTCCGTGCATTGACAATTCCTGAGGGTTTCTTTTAAATGACAGAGGTCAGAAATAAAGAGAGCAATTACGTTAAATGTCTCACAAGATCCATTTACTCTCAAAGCCAAATCCTTGTAATGACCCTTCATTTGGGAATTTGCTGTTTAAAGCTTGGGAACTGAAATTTTAAAAATAATGCATCAGTTGAAATAATCCTTTGAAGAGTGTCACTGAATTTGGTAGTGGCACACATGCAATTCATGTTTCCATCCGAAACATTAGGATCACATTTGTGGCACTTATGGAAATCAATTGAGCCCACATCCAATTCAGAAGCATATTTAACAGCGTCTGTATATTTTGCCAGGTGCACATTCCCTTTCTGTAGGGCTATCCTCGTGGTAATATATTCTCGTCAAGTTAAACTTGTCCAGCCAGGTAGGAATTCAGCTGAATCATGACACAAATGTGCCTTGGACAAGATTTGTCTAACTGGGATACTATGTCCTGACCCAATTCAGTTTCATTTATAGCACTGGCAACAAGATCGGGATCATTCTTGCAGAGATAAATGACAAACGACTTTTAATGTCATTAAATGAAGTAAATTGTACTGCTTCGTGCACCAAAGCATTTCTATCCTTTTGCGATTTAACCTGCAAACTACTTGTTGGCCCAGCATTTCTTGTCTTATTTTTCAATAGCTTTTCAAGCAAAGGATATGGCATAGGTACCGCATCTGGTTTCCACTTTAGTCTAGAGGCACTGTTCAAGTTGTTTGGCTCTAAACTCTCTGCAGGTTTGCTCTTTCCTACATTTACCTCACTTGAACACTGATGTATTTGTTGAATAACTTCAGGCCTTGTAAGCCCAAGGAACTCATAGCCAGATAGATTTTTCTTGTAGTTTAATTTCAAGTATTCAAAAACCTTGTTCAATGTTGTTGTCGGTTTGGTCTCAGCCAAAGTAAATATGGTTTGGCTGTCTTGTAGTACTTCACACTGAAAGAGTGGTCCAAATTTACCTAATTCACTTTGTTGTATTAGCTGACATGACACTTCATAGGATTTTCCATTATGCCGAATTAACTATCTGGCATCATTGTGGCGATAAGACCAATTTACTGAGTTAGGTGTGTCTTTTCAAATAAATTTTTAACAACTTTCCATATTTTTTAGCAATGTTAATTAGAGTGCTGTTACATCTTGTAGTGGTAATTAATATAGCCTGTTCAGTTCATTTAGAATTGGTGCTCCAGCAGATTCTGCAACTGGCTGCATATTAGTTTGGACATAGTTAATATAATGAGAGGGTTTGGAAGGCCGGCAAACTTCAAAGGATAACGCCCCCTTTCGTGAGCTGAACTCGATAGAGGGCATCACGTGACAGTTATAGTGCATCATGGCGTGATTCTATAATACAATTCCCTATTGACAACTTAGAAATCTTTAATTTTCGCTCGTTATACGAGGTTTGGGTGGAATACGAGGTTTTATCGCAAATCTCCATCGTAAGTGGCAACTTTTGAGACGTTTTTATGTGTGATAACCCAAATTGCTGACGCTGTGTATAGTATCAATTTCAAGTGAAGCGAAGTCATACTGCTAAAGCCGTTCGAAATGGTCGTTGAAAACGCATGTTTAAGGTTTGGAATCATGGAAATAGATGAGGAAATTGATACTGAGCGTTTAGAAAGCTCTTGTTCACCTTTGAGGACGATTTAGAGTAAACAACTGCGCTTCTCGAGATGGACGTGGATGAAGTTCAGATTGAAGTTCAACAAGCGCTTGAAGAGGTATGAAATATAAAATTTAGACGATGATTTTTATACATATATTACTGTAAACATAGATATTTACCTAATGAATATTTTCCCTTTCAATACATCGTCTCTAGATTAAAGGAAAGAAACAGTTTCCTTGCAGATTTGCAGTTTCTGTGAGAAAGTTTGCAAATCCAAAGGTGGCCTGACAAGACACCGCGACGCAGTATGAAACATGTTGCAGAATTCGGTGAGGGATCTTCTACATTTCAAACAGTGATATTAGTAGAAAAAGTTGCCGAATTAATACGTGATATCGGTCCACACTTGGTTCAGTTGGTTGACGAAAAACTGTATAACGTATGCCCTACTTTAGTATTTACTCTGTTTAACGCCAGGCGATTTTACCTGTCAAGGGAAGCATCTAAGATAATATTTCTGTGCCACCAAAGGGCAGTCTCACTCTCAGAGCCAACCAAATGTAATTAGAATAATTAATCATAGATTCTTGTTTGAATTTTAGGAAGAATTGTCTTTGTCACCTCAGGAGCTTGGACCATTATCATATTTGACTGGATATGTGATAAGATCTTTATACCAGAGAAGCAAGAACTGTTATAGGAGCAATTCTTCCTGGAACAAAGAAGTCCAAGCCTCGATGTCATCAATGCGACAGGACACAGAGGCCAATAAATACATTTCATCCTTGTTGAGGGGTGGACTTTGGTCACCACACTCATGGATTGTAAGCATTGCAAGGTGTCAGAGTTAATATTTAAAACACACATCAAATAAAGACAAGGTTACTGTCTACCAGTAGACACAATTGTGAATGAAGTCCTAACTTCTCCTCTTGTGACAAACTTGTGGTGCAACATTATTCAAAACTGTGATGTAGAAACTTCCATGGAATGTCAATCTTTATGTTTAGAGAATGTTCAGTCAAATTATATGTAACTGTAAGATGTTTTCCTTTGCTAAGGATATTGTAAATAAATATAAGATAAGTCAGGGTACACAGAAAAAGAAAGCTTTATGAAAAGACTTGAAGACAGGCACAGATTTTCCGGGGGTGGGAACCCCCCCCCAGAAATGATTTGCACCCTCCAGAGGCATTTGGCACAGCCCCCAAAAGTCTTGGCACTCCCGCAAATTATATATATTTTGATTTGATAGTTTCATATTTGATTATTCTTACTAAATTTGTAAAATTACCAATATTATGGTCTCAGATGATCAGATCTCACCATGCAGGCCTAGAAAACAAATTTTGTTAAACTTTTTCCTTGGCCTTTCCAGGTGTTGCCACCAGGCCCCGGCCTTTCAAAGCAAACAGCACCCCCCCCCCCAGATATTTATCCACACACCCCGAACGAAAATATGAAAATCCGTCTCTGCTTGAAGATTGCCAGTGAAGTAAAGAAATAGTCAGGTACATAATACAATAACGTTATATCAATGATATTAAATGTAAATATGATACTGTATCAATGAATTATCCTCATATTTTTATGTGTAATCTTTTCATCAACACATAGTAATAACAACAATATATAAATATATACACACAGCTTAAACTACTCTCTCTCAATTATGTAATGTTCAGCCAAATTTAGTCATGCAGTTTAAATAAGCTAATTGGAGATAATAG